TACACCAGGGCTTAGGTCAGTATAACTACATCACTCAGGGGTGTAGATTTTCCACATCCCTGAATTATGTAGTTATAGTGACAACTTGGTAGTGTAGACCAAGCTTTAATTTTGAGCTTTCAACAAGTCCATCCATCCTCTGTTGTATCTTTCAAAGAATTAAAAAGACTTTAGTCTATAGTTGTAGTCCATCTGGTAACTTTCACAGCACTAATTATCACATTAAAAAAGAAAATTGCAGAGGATAGATTTTCCACATTAAAACTAATTGGCACCATCACTGAAGAGTCAACACTCCTAAAATGGTCAATTTTGCAAACAAATGCCAAAGGGCATATCTGCAAATCTGTAAACTCAATTAATTGCCTTAGTTTGTGTAGAGGCCAGGCATATTTTTATGCATATTTTTATTTCTGCTCCTTTAAACTTTTCAATAGAGCTAGAGGGTCAAATACAAATATGTATTGGAAAAAAAAAATCGAAAGCTACATATTGGGGGGGGGGGGGGGGAATAGTAACCATGCTATATTGGTGCAAGTTCTGTACCACTACACTATATTAACTTCACTGACATGTTCAGCATAAATTAGCAGAATTTGATACATTAATTCTACTTAGTATGTTTTCTGGATGAAAATTTTCAACTTCATTGGAAATGTTAAGCTGAAGCTAGCAGGGAGCTGAGCTTTACTGCAAATTGATCTTTCAAATCTTCTATAGTAAATTATTTCCCATATGCAAACAAACTGTATTCAATGATATTTTTTACTAGCAGTTTACACTTGTAACTATTTTCCTTCAAACTGCTGTTTCCAGATAGCACTTTTATACTTATTTGCATAATGAAAACAAATACTGCTGCCTATCTATTCCCCATTATAATCTACCACTACCCATAAATCAGTATGTCCTTTATTCTCAATGAAAGGGTAGTGCAGTTATATTTCCTATTTAAAAAAAAATACAAATACTACAAAAGTGGAGAGGTAACATTTTCTCACGTGCTCTTATGCAGCTTCCTTTCCTAATATTTTTTTCTCTCCTTTACCAGCGGCAAGCTGGATCTAGCACTCCCTGCTTAATGCTGAAGTTCAATCCTGCAACTCTTGCTAACATGAGAAGTTCTCACTTTCAGGATTACTCTCATGAATAAAGGATGTAGAATTAGACCTTTAATCTTCCTTTTGACATAACCGGATACATTTTTAAAATGTTGTAAACCAATGTATAGGTTAAATTTTCTTGTCCATTATACTAGTGATGCCAATGAGATTGCACTGACATGAGTGAGAAGAATTTGGACCATTACATACAAATACTGGGCAATGAAGTGTGAATGTGCATGATCAAGCCAGACAGCCATGCACAGCATGAGATGGGTATGATATTCTTCAACGCAGGTGTAGGCATGATTATTTTGGCACCACAAAAACTCTGGGAAGGAAGGATGGGAGCTTTCATTGAAACTGGCTAACAGTGAAGGACTATGCTAGCCAGCTCTAGACCAGTTGGGCTTTGGAAAGGTCTGTTCTCCAAGTCCTTATTACTGAAGCACAGTAAATACAATGTCCATTAGCTCTGTGAACTAGGTTTTTTTCCACCAAGTACAATTGTGATGCTCTCCTCAGGACAACCAGAACCATAAGCCACCATGTAACCCCTCTGCCTCAGCGAGGAAGAGTTTTTTGCTTAAACTGAGTGTCAGCTGCTTGCCACACCAGTCAATCCTCCTTTATACCCAATCCTCCTCACCAGCAACTCCACAAGTCTCTGCCAGTCTAAATCTTGCCCTGGAGGTAACAACCAGTGATTCCCCAGAGATGTCTCTGCAGCGTCTATACCCTCTCACTGGACACTCTCAGAAATTATAAAGTTTGCTGTCTCCAAAGAGACAGTGCACACCCGAGCCTGTTAGGTTCGCTAAGGACTCACTCTTTACTTCAGTGTAATGGCACTGAGATGGTTTATAATAAAACTAAGAATAAATTTATTAATAAAAAACAGAGATTTAAGTGATACCAAGCAAGGATAAAGGAGATAGAAAAGGGTTACAGACCAAACAAAACCAACATCCTTTCTAATGCCTACAATTTAATTCTAACAAACTGTCATTGGCCAGCATCCACATATCAAGCTAACCAGCATCTCCAGCCCTTCCTGGTAGGAGGATCCAATGTTCTCAGAATCAGAGGGTGTTGTCCTCAAGAGCCAGGAAGACTTTCTGGGAGTACTGACTCTGTCCCCTGGTGTGCTCACTACATTATTTCCTCCATTGCTTGTTAGCGTGATTGCTTTGTTTACATGATATGTAAATATACTTTCATAGCCATTGGTTTGTAATCAAGCTGATGACACAGATAAATCCACAGTCCTTTGTCTATGGCAGGCTTGCCTTATGCACTGCTTCCCGAACACATTTTAGGAACATATTTCCAGCACACATAGACAAGCCGTACATAACCACACAGTGCTATTCCTAATCAGCATGTCACCAATTTTATGATATTTTACTCAATACACTTTTATAGTACGATAATATTGTATACAATCACTTGATTCAGTTGCATATTTTGGGGTTCAGACCCCTTGTTCTCCACAGGGGTGTCTGGACCCTGATTGTCATGAAAACCTGATAGGACATGATCAAACTTCAGCAACTCCAGTGTTTTGTGTTAAGTGTTCTTGTAATTATTGTTTTATTGCATATTAACAAAGGAAACCATGTTTCACCTTCAGTTTAATCTTTCTTCCCTTGGAAGCTTCTCTCTGCTGATGAGAGAACTGACTGACAATTGATCCCAGTACAGCAGTTCAAGGGCAAGTCAGTTACTGCTAATGTAACAAATCACCATAGTTTGACAATCGGGAGTCTCATCCTAGCCAAACAGTAAGTAAGACACAGACTCAAATATAATACAAATAGGCTGGTGAAAATTTTCATACCTGACAAACAAGGCAAAGAGAACAGAAGTAACAGTAGCTCAAAGTCAAGTCTCAAGTGCTCACATTTTGCTATCTGCATTGAGCATTATCAACAGAATTAGGCATGTGAGCTCTATTTGTATTGTTGGTGTTAGCTGGGTGCTGGAATGGGTAAACAAAGTAGCAGCCGTGTTAGTCTGTATCCGCAAAAAGAACAGGAGTACTTGTGGCACCTTAGAGACTAACAAATTTATTTCAGCATACGCTTTCGTGGGCTACAAAAACCAGCAGGAGAACACTTCAACCTCTCTAATCACTCAGTGACAGACTTGAAGGTGTCAGTTTTGCAACAAAAAAAACTTCAAAAACAGACTCTAAAGAGAGACTGCTGAACTCGAATTAATATGCAAATTAGACAATTAACTTAGGCCTAAACAGAGACTGGGAATGGATGGGTCATTACACTAATTGAATTTTTTTTCCCCCATGTTAAGTTCTCCTCACACCTTCTATGGGTCATCTCGATTATCACTTCAAAGTTTTTTCTTCTGCTGCTACTGATAGCTCATCTCAATTGATTGGCCTCTTACAATTGGTATGCATACTTCCACCTTTTCATGTTCTCTGTATGTATAAATATCTTCAGTCTGTGTGTTCCACTCTATGCATCTGAAGAAGTGAGCTGTAGCCCATGAAAGCTTATGCTGAAATAAATTTGTTAGTCCCTAAGGTGCCACAAGTACTCCTGTTCTTTTTGCAGAATGGGTAAAGTTATGTTAACCTGGAAGCCATTAGTAACCATCCTCTTTGTTGAGACAGTTCTGGTAGGTTCACAGTTGGTTCCTTTAAAGCATCTATCTTCGGTAATTTACATGGAACTCATTGTCATAGCATGAATGCCTGACAATCTTTAATATACCGATTGGAGCTGGGGAGGAACCGGATTTTCCCTCATGGGAATTTCCATTTTTGAGGGGGGAGGTTCATTCTAAAATGGAACAAAGCCAAAATATTTTAAAATTTCATGTTAAACCAATTTTTTTGGAGGGGGGGATGTTTCAGGTCAATCAACATATTTTGTTTCAAGAAAATCAAAATGTTTCATTCTGACTTTCAGTTTTTAAAAATTTTATATAAAACAAAACATTAAACATTGAAACAAAATTTCATTTCAAGATGGAAAAATTGAAACTTTCCATTCTGAAAAAATTGAGTTTGAAATAAAACCGCCTCAGCATGCACTGTTTTGTTTCCCTATTCCATCCCCCAAAATGCAATTTTGTCAAAATGTCCACTAAATGTTTTTGATTAATTTCCTGATGTAAAAACATTCCCCCCAGAAAATTTCTGACCAGCACTAGAATTTAGCCTCACAAAACCCCTCTGAAGTAGAGAAGTACTAGATAGGGAATTGAGGCACATAGGGACTACGTGACTTGCCCAAAGTCATGGGGAGAACAAGGAATTGAACCTGGGTCTCCCAAGTCCCAATCTAGCACCATAAACACTGGATCATCCCTCCTCATTGCATTTAGTAGGCTGCATGGATTGTATCTTCCTGTTCAGCCTTTCCACTTAAAAGACCCATAAAAATACCTGGACATTTAAAATACACTCTTATCCAGTGCAATATTGTAATAATAAAATAGACTGAACATCAAACAATTGTAATTTTTAATCACTTGACTACTTCACTATGAAATTAAATTAAAAAATTCCCATCTATTTAACAATTGGCTAGATGCCATTTAACATGGTGTTGGGTGAATGTGTCCCCATGGAACTGAATGTATACTATTATTTCCCCAAAGCAATAGTCATTCCTATTCTTTACTATTAAGATAAACTGATTTTCCAGAAGTTACACGAATAAAGTGTTCATTCCCAGTTAATGGCTCTTAAGGAAGGTCTGCAGGATTGAATGCTGTGCGCTTTGCTAGTAAAATTGAACCCCCGAGAGCCCATGGATCAAATTCTATCCAGTTACAAGCTGGCCCTACGGGGCCAGAGAACAGAACAAGACCTTAGAACTTAACAGGCCCACAAAGCAGAACTTTTTAATCAGAAAAACAATTTACCTGGGTCTTCTATAGCTAAATTCTTCGTTAACCACTGAACAATGTCTGAACCTAGGAGGGAAAAAAATTTTAGTTTAGTAAGCTTGTACTTTCTATATTCTTCAGTCACAGCTCCATGATACCATAAATGTCCATGTAACATATAAAAAGGAATTAATGTTGAGTTTCTCCAGAATCAACTGGACCATTTTATTTTTATAGAACACCCCACAGTTTCAACAAAAGAGACGCATTATGCAAACTCTTTTTTTTCCAGATCAGGAATACTGGTGCACAATTTCATAGTGCAAGAAGCATGTTACTTATCTGACAGTCTACATTTTAAAAAGAAGAATAACAACTTGTAAATTTTCAGGGACAAACAAGCAAACATTGTATTACATTCTTGTGTAAAAACAAACAAAACCCTTTATCAAACAAGACTTCAAAAGGGTTAATGCAGCACACATTGTAACTGTGCAGTTTGTGTACACACACACACACACACACACACACACACACACACACACACACACACACACACACACACA